ATATTTTTCCATGGTTATCTTCTTTTTAAAATATCAAAACTGTGTTTCCACTTAATTATTTTTTTACTAATCATTAAAAACAAGAATAAATTTTTAGATGGTTCATTAATTAGAAATGACTCCTTCACATTTTCCAAAATATACTATATATAAAAGGTATATCACCAAGCCTTAAACACCTTGCAGTAACCGATACCACAGGGAAAGAATGTCCCACGCAGGGATGTTCAGATATGCTGAATCAAAGTTAAATTAATCTATTCTAATAACAAAATTCCAGCTCTAATCTCTACCACACACACAAAAAATTTCAGTTGAAGTTTGGGGTATCTGTTTAAGAAGTCTGGTTTGCTTCATGTTCCTGGGAAGCTGGTACTTCTGGAAACAAGACCCTTTAAATAAGTTGATTTTTATCTCACGGTGACCGGTGTCTTCAACACCTCAACTCTTGCAAAATCTTTTTGAGCAATTTTTCCACTGTAGTCTGCCTTCACATATACATCTATCACTTTTCTCTACTCATATTTGTGAGTCATGTATGAGTAGCACTAAATGGCCACCAACCCAAATATGTCATACCATTCTTTAAACAAGCCATGAAAAGCTTTCTTATTATGCAGAGATAGAATTAAACTTTGGGATTAGAATGTAAATAGGGTGTTATATTCATCACCTGATATGAAAAAAGGTCTCCCAGAAATGTGTTCTTCAAGGCATTTTTCTCCCCCTATCATCAGTTACTCCTTTGAGTTAACCTGAAGCATCTATCTTAAGTAAACGTAAAATGTATTTTTAAATAACAGCATTTCGAGGGGGACTATGTGCCATTCTCACTCTATCCTGTCAATGCTGGCAGAACCAAGGGACCAAAGAAGTAGCCTAACGGACTGGAGAACAGTCTAGGTACTTCCGACTCCCTCATTACTAACAACCAACAGCCTTCTCCCGCACTGGATGTACCTCCGCTTTCCCTGTATATAAGGAGGAAACAAACTCTGGTCTCACTTGCCTTCTAGGATTTTGGAGATGAATAAAATAACAAATCACACACTTTCCCTCCGGGACAAACACACAAAAACTGTCAATAGTGTGTTTTAATAATTTATGAAGTGCTTGAGCTCTTGAAAACAAACTATTATCAAACAGTAATTACTTTGGTTTATATAAGAATTTGGGGGGGCAGTTCTCTCCTCATTGTTATCAATGCAGGGATGAAAACAGATGCTTAAGAACGTCTCTACTGGAATGGGTAGATCAAGTGGTAAAATGAAAACAAATATATTCCCAGAGGGCCAAAAATGTGAAATCGTTGAAGATAAGCCATAGACTGTCTCCACAGATGTCAGAACGAGAGAGACAGAGAGAGACACGCCCTAGAAAGAAGCCCTTCTGGGAAAATGAAGAGGAATGGAATAACTTCTGGTTCAAGACAGTCTGTGAGAATAAGGGAAAGCTAACGGGAAGGAGAACCGCAATCTCGGACTTCATGGTTCCTTTTGCATTGCACACGTCCCCGCCGGGCGGCCAGCTGTACAAACAACCGTGCAAGAACTGGAGGCAGGGCCCTTGCTGCTGCTGTTCAGATTACTGAGTTGACTGATACTCTGTAAATTATTGGTCAGAGAAGCAGAGTCCCCCTTTCCCCGCTATCATAAATCCTCCAGTTCCTCTCACCAATGTTCTCAGCCCAGGAGGAGCAGCCCTCGGCCCCGGCTCCACGCCGCCCCCTAGTGGTCACCTCTGTGGCCTTGGCTTCCCTTGGTCCAGCTCCCCAGCCCCAGGTCTTACACCCACCCCTTTCTTCACCTTGCAGTCCCCTCCCCTTCCTCCCGAAAGCATCCCCTTCCTCTCCGTCCCCTTGCCCCAGCTGTCCCCGCTTCGGTGAGGGGGCGCCGCTCGGTCGGCACCCAGAAGTCCGGGGTTGGGCTAAGGAGCGGAGCGCCTTCTCACGGCACTTTCCATTCCAGCCCTGACGCCCCCCAGGGTCCACGCATCTCTTCTTCCCCCTCACCTCCTCGTCCAGGACGCTGCCGACTGTGCTTCCACCGAGCCCGCCAGTTTAGTCCCGTTTCCTTCTCTAGTTAAGACTCCCTGTCAATGACAGTTACTTTTTGGCCTTTTCATATATGCATATTTTGGGGGCCTTTAACCCCCCCTCGTGGAGAAATGAAGGTAACAAAATGGCGGACGCGGAAGTGAAGGCGCTGCCTGTATGATTTCTGGCGGAGGAATCTGTGGAGGGAAAATGATTAGAAAACCCATCCTGCCACTCGAACAGAAAGTTGATGCACCTCCGAGATTCATTTCCTATCTACTGAAGGACTTCTGAGGTGGACAAATGTGTATCCGAGACATCCTGGACGGGACTATTTAACGAGGCGGAGGATTATTGATTACGTGTCTTACGTGTCTTATAGTTCCAGCAGGGGACGGATCCGATGGTTGTTTTGGCGCCAAGAACCCGGCGAACCGCTGAGGGTAGATCAGGTTATGCATCAGTCCTGAAGTTTGCGTCCTACCTCTTGGCTGCTTCTCCTGGGGGCCAGGCTTAGGGTTGACAGATAGCCTTGCTTCCTTGTCCTTGGACATTTCTGGTTTTACTCGTGAATTGGGCTCTGGTGCTTGATGGACACACGTTTCCAGTCGGAAGACCCCAGAGCCAAGCTGTCAGTGCGCAAATAACTGAGTCATTTGTACAGGGCGTTGGTGGTAGGGGGGGAGCCTAGAATAGGATGGAGCATGAGTTTGCAAATCTGTTTAGTCACTTTATTTACCAGTTGATCCCCGTCTCCACCCACCATTTACCATGACTAAAGGACTCGGAGAAATCCCGCAAAAAACCCTCACAAAATTAGTAAAAATAGAAAAGGACACAACACTTATCCTTCCTGGCGCCATTCTCAATTGGACTTTGACCATCTTTAGATGGTAGGCATAGGAGGTCTAGGAGAAGAATTTACCTTTCTCCCCCCTCCTCTGAACAACTCTAGATCCTATTCTGTTCCTGTCTTTTTTTTTTTTGACTAGTCAAGTGCAGTGCTGAGGAGGGAAAGTAGCAGAACAAGGAGTTCAATCTGTAACTGACTGTGAACAATCAAGTGAGATAACTCACTACCTTCAGACCAGCCTTTTTCTTTTCTTTTCTTTGGAAACAGGGTCTCTCTTTGTCACCCAGGCTGTAGTGCAGTGACATCATCATAGTTCAAGCGATCCTCCTGCCGCAGCCTCCTGAGTAGCTGGGACTACAGGCAAATGCCACAACCCCTGACTAATTTTTCTATTTTTAGTAGACACGGTGTCTCTTGCTCAGGCTGGTGTCGAACTCCTGAGCTCAAGCAATCCTCCTGCCTCAGCCTCCCAGAGGGCTAGGATTACAGGTGTGAGCCACAGCCATCCCACCCAGCCAGTTTGTGTCATCCTTAAAGTATTTTCAGCATACTGCCCAGTGCTACCCATACTAGTATTTATGGCTTCCCTTTTTAAGTTTGAGTCAGAATCTTGTTTCATTCCTGTTTACATCCTCTTGTCTAGCTCATTGCCTTTCATATAGTAGGCACACAAAAAGTATTTGGAAGTTAGTTTCAAATAGTTTTTTGGAATGAGGTGAGATAAACATATAACATATTTGGATGAATTAGTTTATTTTCTTAGGCACCTAAGAGAATTGTTACCTGAAACATAATGTTGGTAGGGAATTGGCAGAAGAGTGGTTGTAGCTTTAAGTACTTTTCTAATTTTAAGTTGATTTCACCCTTTTCTTTGTTACCTATCTGTTCAACCCAAAGTTCACCTTTTGTTTTTTTTTCTTTTTTTGAGACTGAGTCTCGCTCTGTTGCTTGGGCTAGAGTGCCGTGGTGTCAGCCTCGCTCACAGCAACCTCAAACTCCTGGGCTCAAGCGATCCTCCTGCCTCAGCCTCCCAGGTAGCTGGGACTACAGGTGTGCACCACCACACCCGGCTAATTTTTCTATTTTTAGTAGAGACAGGGTCTCGCTCTTGCTCAGGCTGGTCTCGAACTCCTGGCCTCAAGCAATCCTTCTGCCTCAGCCTCCCAAAGTGCTAGGATTACAGGCGTGAGCCACCACACCCAGCCTGGAAGTTCGCCACTTAATGTATACATAAATGCTATTCAAATCATTCTTCCTCTCCACTCCCACTGCTCCGCTTGACCAGCCAAAACAAAATAAAAAAATAAAATAAAAAGAAACAAATCATTCTTCCTAAAAACTGAATATTAGAAAGATAAAATGTAAAAGCAAGGCTAATTAATTTCTGAGATTAATACTGCTTCCCTGTGAAGAAAGAGAAAAATAGAATCCAGTCCTGGGATTGAATGTCTTTATTAAATAAATGAGCAAATGGCAGCACGAATCAGCAGCAGTAATTTTGGAAGGAGTGGGGACAAGGTGTAAGGTCAGAATGTAATTGTTTATTTCATAGTCTCAATGTAATTGAAGAACTGTGCCCAAGGCCCATTGATCAGTATTATATATTGCAAGAGGGCAAGACTAAAATACTAAGAACCAAACCCTATTCCTTTTAGAAGACAGTCAAAACCTTACAGATTATCATAATGGTCAGCAAGATTGTACCTTAAGATTTGATATCTAATTTTCCTTAGCTAGTTTTCAACTCACAGCAGCAAACGTGTAGAGTAGGCTTGAAGAAGGAACACCCTTTTGAGAAAAAGAACTTAACTATTTCTGAAATAATTCAATGTTCTTCCCTATTTTTATTTTGCATGATATATTATTTCCTCTTGTTTTATAACCTTAACTACCCCCAATTTCTTTAAGAAAAAGAGTGTATTATAATCAGCAACAGGAAAGCAAGAGTCCTTAGGCTTTTAGAAATCTTGTTTTGTAACAGTTAATCTGGAGTTAATATTTAGGGGGAAAAGGAAGAATCCCTGTGACCCAATACTCCATTGCTTGACCCCTTTACTTTGTGGCTTGAGGGCTTTTGAGAAACGTGGAGTAGATAGATGGATAAATAAATAAATAAATAAATACAACTCAACTCTGGCAGATTCATCAGCACCACCAACACAATAGAAGAGAGAGAACAAGATTAAAATGGCAAAGGGGTAGAAAGGAAAGGGCTTGAAAGGGAAGACAATGAGGGCAAGGTGGTGGGAGAGAGAAGTCTTGGCCTTAGAGCAAGTCCAATTCAAAGGAGTGGATGCTGGCAATGGGAGCTCTCCAGAAGTTGAAGGTGCTGTACTCAAGAAGGGCATCATCTTCAGGGTTTTTCTCCTGCTCTGCTCCAGTTGCTTGCCCGGTCATTTTGCCAACGCTGTTGTCCTTGATCTTGAAGGTGGATGTATCTGACAGACCCAGGCCTTCCAGCTCTGACAGATCCAGTTCTGGGATGGGCATCCTCCAGAAAAGAAAGGAGCTGTACTGGCTACTCACAGGGTCCCTCATAGCCTCCTGGAAAGAAACCACTTGTCAGTCTTCATGCTATAGCAACTTCTTTGTGGCCTGTAGCTTGTAGCCTTTCCTTGCTTAGAAACTCCATATCCCTGTTTCCCTCTATACATAATCCAATTTCCCTAGGACAAGCTTCAGGGACCCTGCCTTTATTACCACTGTCTACCATTTCCTAACTTCTCATCTTGGAATCACTTTTTTTTTCTTTTTTTGTGATACAGGGTCTTGCTCTGTCGCCCAGACTAGAGTGCAGTGGCATCATCATAGCTCACTGCAACCTCCAACTCACAGGCCTAAACAATCTTCCTCAGCCTCCCAAGTAGCTAGAACTATAGGCACACATCACCACGCCCAGCTAATTTCCTTATTTTTTGTAGAGGCGGGACCCCACTACGTTGCCCAGGCTGGTCTCAAACTCCGGGCCCCAAATGATCCTCCTGCCTCTGCCTCCCGAAGTGCCACCAGGCATGAGCTACTGAAGGGAGCCCAGCAGAATGATTTATTTACTATTGCATCAAATTGATCTTGGGTCTGATTTTCAAGGCCTTCCAAAATGTGGCCCACTCTTCCTAGCAAGTATGCAGCATTAACTATAGTTATGCTCATTCCTGTCTTGCTTAACTCTCTCCATTCTCTACCTTAAAATACTTCCCAAGTTTCAACACTCTAATCAAGTCCCTAGAGGAATCCCCCTCTCCCAAACTCCTATTGTATTTGTAGATACTTGACCTCTTCTTGACTTTGATTTAATAGATCATGGTACTTGTGAAAAGGCCTTCCATGGCATTTCTGCTTTCTATTTTCCTTCTTGCCTTATAAACTCTACTATAAACTCCAGTCTTCCAGGGCAACTTTCTTAAACTTACTCAGCTTCATCTACTCTATTTCCTCCATCATCTTCCCCAACACCCTGTGGAGTTTTACCTGACTCCATCAGTTTGGGGTTACAGATCACTGTTACTGCATTTTATGTATAGGGATGCTCTTATCTCCTTCAACAGACTGGGAGTTTTCTTAAGGGTAAATACCAGTCTACTTTCTCTGTACCGCAAGTGCTGGGCTCTGCACACAAAGACATTCAAGGCTGCTGATTAATTTCCCCTCACTATTTAAAACAATGAATACTTTGCCACTCCCATCTATTAGCTCATAGGTAAGCCTTAACAGTCTATTAACTCTCCTTCAGAGCAAAACCCAGGTGCTAAAAGAATTTTCCTATGCTATAACAGGGTCTCTTTTCTCTGACCCCAGTGCTAGAGTATAACTGATGATGGTGAGAGCAAATGGATTGGAAATTCCAGGTAAGAAAGTAAAGCTTAGATTGGAAGGAGATTTTAACAAAATTGGATACTTTCCCATGCTTTATTGGGTAGTTCTATCACCTTATCTGTTCATGCTACCCACATTCTGCCTGATATTATATGACTATTATAGCTCCCTGCAGCCTCCGCCCTGCTACTTACTAGCCAAGGGAAGGGGCAAGAAGCATTAGTTGAATTGTTCCCAAAGGAGCAGAAAGAACATTCCACTGCCTCCAAAAATAGAACCCCAAGTTTCAAAAGGCCTTTCTCCAAATACCCCATTGGCTCTCACCAGGCCTGAGACTTTTAATAGCAGCCTTAAATAGGTTCCAAAATGCCCTCATATAATGTAAAATGACTCTACTAAGGCAGAAAAAGAAAGCCTTAATCTAGAACATGGTGATATGTGAGGGGGATGGGTGAGGGAGGTGCTTTAGAAGTGGTGAGTGGGGTTGGGCAAGGGGGTTCATGCCTGTAATCCTAGCACTCTGGGAGGCAGAGGGAGGAGGATTGCTTGAGGTCAGGAGTTCAAGACCAGCCTGAGCAAAAGCAAGATCCCGTCTCTACCAGAAATAGAAAAAATTAGCCAGGAGTGGTGGTGCGTGCCTGTGGTCCCAGCTACTGGGGAGGCTGAGGCAGGAGGATCGCTTCAGCCTAGGAGTTTGAGGTTGCAGTGAGCTATGATGACACCACTGTACTCTACCCAGGTGACAGAGTGAGACACTGTCTAAAAAAAAAAAAAAAATGATGAGTGGGTTGGTTAGGATGCTTTTAATGTTAAAACTGAGTTCTGAGTTGATCTTTTTCTTCTTAGATTCACGCTCCAAAATAAACCTGGGAACTGAGCATTACTCAGCAGAGAAGCTGCTTAGAAGGATGGTGATGCACAGACTGGAGTAGGGTGTGGGAGCATGTTGGAAAGGTGAGGTCATCTTCCTATGACATTCAACTCTGATCATCTCCACAGTAGTTTGCAGAGACATTTGCACAGAAAGACAGCTACAAAAATGGTTCAATACTGTTACTGACTTCTGTCTAGAGATTGTTTGCTGTGTTAACAGTTATTTCCCTAGCTAGCTGGCTTCTTTTATAGCTCCTCCCTTACAAGTCTTTTCCAGAGCGAGCTTAGTATAATGCTGGGCACATAATAGGTTCTCTAAAAAACAGACTCATAGTGGAAAAAAATCAGAATTTTTAAACTAGAAGACACCTTACAAATTACCTACTGACTCAAGTCTTCCAGCCAGTTTGTATAGAACTCAGGTCTCATAATTCCCAATCTGATCCCTTTTTGTGTTGTACATAGATAGTTGCTCCACAGCTTTTATAACTCTATACCAGTATTCTCAAAACTTACAAGAATTCTTAGTTACTGAAGAACAGATATTCTGTGGGTTAGGCATTGATTGTTCCTGTAATTCTGACTTGAATGGTGAAAAGCAAAAGGCAGTATAGAGCAAGCTAGAATCTGAGAAAGGGAAAAAGCTCTTTGACAAACTGACTCCTTTTCTTAAAATCACAGTATGTATAAAAGCTGCCTAAACAGTCTCTGAGTGTTTGGTAGAGTTATCCTGCAATTTAAAAAGCTAAAGGAAATTTTATGAAAAAAAGGCCTAAAATCTCTGGCTATGTTATTGACCCAGAGACATATACAGAGGATACCAAATGCATTCCAGAAAGACACTCACACAAGCATATGTGGCATTAAAATCAAGTCAAGAACATAAAGACTACACAGAAAATTGAAGTTAAGATACCAAAAGATATTTACTAATGTAAACAGTAATTAAATTTTTGATTTAATATAGTATGGATTTAATTCCCATGTTCTCCAAATTTTGCAAAAGGTCCCTTTTCAGCCAGCTTCCCCTTCCCCTCCCCAAATGCTCTCTGCCCATACTTCATCTATCTTTACATCTATCATTTGCTTATCTTAAAGGGTTTGGACAGTGCCATGTACCACAATATATGCTCAATAAATGCTTTCCACTATCCTTCATTTTAAATTATCCAGATATTTATGCAAAGGTAATTTCTAAATATTACTGTCTTTTCTTAGAGATACATGATTAGCAAATATACAGATTAGAATACCCTTTGTCCAGATCCTCTGTGGGCATCCAAGGCCTACTCAACAGGGCCTTGCTGTGTCATGCTGCCATCATGGGGGCTGGGGAAGGAGGAGAGGTGGTGGTGGTAGAGAATGAAAGCTCTCTGCCTTCTCATTATGTGTGCCTCATTCTGAGTTTGGATTTTCCTATTAGCCATGTCCTTCCCCCACATATTCCAATGAGCTGCAAATAAGCATTCCTTTTCCAGAATCTATCCCCATACTTAGCTCCTGTGGGCTGTACTAATTACAATATGGGATCAAGCAGTTCTCTACACAGAGACCCTCACCGTTCCTACTTCAAGCTGCCTCTTCGGAGCAAAGGTTTGAGATGGGGAGAAGGAGATTGTCAAAAGAAAGGTCAGGATTACTCTCAACACTATCCCATATCCCTTCCCCAAAAACTCCCTCCTACGGAGACAAATAGAGGACTACAGAAAAAAACTGCAAGTATGGGGAAGTAGAGGCCAGAGAGATGCGGGAGGACTAGAGAGTCATCAAATAACTGGTAGAAGACATTTTATAGCTTGAAAAGGAAGATAACTGAACAGAAGATATTAAATAAACAGGCCAATAAATTATAGAAAAACATACTTGAAATAAGGAGGTTAAGTGCTGAGAAATAACTGCATGTAAATTGCTGGAAACGAATGTCTGGGTACAGGATAACAAGGCATGGAAACGTTGAACAAGTAACTACCCATTGTTCATAGCGCCCCCTTCTCTCTTTTTGAACTGTCCCCTACCTCATCCTTATTTGAGGTCTTCAATCTAACCAGAAGAAACTGCTCTTCTATCTTTGCAGCCTCCTGCCCCCCTCCCTCAGTTGAGTTTACCTGTTATCAATGAATTACCAGCGTGTTCCAAAGATGGAGGGAGTGCCTCGGGGGCTCCGGGGTCTGTTCCGCGCTGGAGAAAAAGAAAGCTGTTGGGGCTTTGACGGCTTTGTCTTCTCACTCGCTCTCCCTCTTCAGTGACTGAATCTGCTCAGTCTCCCCCTGCAATGCAGCCCCTCCTAAGAAGGGCGGAAGGACTCCCGCCCCCTCCCTGCCTGACTCGGCTAATTCAAATGATAGGTTCCAGAACACTTCAGGGAGGGAGAGAGAGGATTAAAAGCATCTCAGTAGGCTTATTGGTCTACACAATCATTCCGCATCTTTTCCAGCACCCCCGTGCTGACTGGGGGTGAAATGAATGAGCAGGCAATTGTCCTCCAAATTTAGGTTTATGGATTAAAAATATTAACACTAGACAACAATGGAAAGGAGGAGTGTCCCTTTCTTCCCCAATTTAAGGACTTCAGGTTACTAGGTGTTCTTGAGAATCAGAAAAATTCTGCACCCCTTCCCCCAATCCCTACTCCTCCCGACTCGTCTCTCCACCGTCACAATGGATAAATAAACCTAGCCTTATTCCATCTCGGGTAGAGCACAAGAGATTGGGGGGCGGGGTGCTTCTGCGAATCTCTGAACTTGGTTAGGTCTGGAGGATTTGGGGGTTCCACTTCGTATTGCCCCGCAAGCCCTGGCGCGCAAAGGGAACCTGCGATTCCGGGGTCCCCAGGTTGGGTGTCAAGCCCTCATCGAGGCGTCCACATTCTCCGACTCCCCGGGCATGGCGGCGGCCCTCGGGGCCTGCGGAGGCCCCCTCCCATGTCCCTCCACTGTGCAGTGCCTCAGCAGTCCAGGGGGGAGCTGTGCTCTCGGCTCGGAGCCGGACGGGTTTCGTAATCGCGTCGCTGCCGCTTCCGCCCTCCGCCAGCCCCACCTCTGCCGGCCCGCCCTCGGCTCCCCCACCGCGCGGAGGAGCGAGCCCGGGAACCCCTCACCGGCGGCCGCGGAGCAGGACACCCCCGCCCCCCATCAGCTGTAGCTGGACGCCTTGATGCCGGCGAAGAGCAGGTGAGACCGTAGAGTTGGTCCCCGGGCCCGCCCGCCACGCCTGCCGGGCCGGCGGAGACGCACCGGATGCTGGGGGTGGGGAAGGAGGGTGTCCACGGTGGTCGAGATGCTGGGTCGGTGGGAAAAGGGGTCCCTTCCCAGGGTAACTGTCCTCATCCACGCTCGTGCAGCAGGCAGGTTAAGGCTGCTGAAGAGTGGAAGAGAAAGAAGGGACTGGAATGTTGGGGGAGGTGGGAGAGAGGGTCTGAAAGATTCACAGAGAAGCCTCAATCCTAGTTCAGGGTTAGGAGGAGCAGAGAATTTCTGGGTAGAGTTTGGGGGACAGATGGATTCTATGTGAGTGAATATATTGGGGGAGGGGAAGCGTAGGGCCTAGTGCTGTTTCCTGATAATAAACCCCCACGAGACCTTTTCTGGGGAAGGGCAGGGTTGGAGCTGGGGCCTGTCACTTGGATGAAATATGGGTCCACCCCTTTTCTCCAGAGCCCTTCAGGAACCCTCCATGTCTGGGGGTCTCCACACAGGGTCCAGCTGCAGCCCTGGGCTTATAGAATTGCCCTCTCCATTCTCCCAATTCTCTTTCTCTCCAGCTGCTTCTTGTGAGGGCTTGTCAGGCAGCGGGTTGGAGGCCCTGGGGCTGGAGGCGGAGAGACCAGGAAAACCGGTTTGGGGCTTGACAGGACCAGGGAACTACCTCTGTACATCCTTCCTCTCTGGCACCTTTCTGCTGTCCCTTCCCTTGCTCAACACCTTTGAGGTCCTTAAGTCCTAGTGTGACCTTGGTAGTGGTGGGGGGTGTCTTTTCCAGTTCCATATTCACTCTTCCTATTGAGGCTCAGAGAGGCCAAGTTCTCAGCACAACTTGGCTATCAGGTTGTGGCCTTATGCTGTCTAATCCTGATCCCTCCTGTTGTTTTCCTAGCCCCTTCCCATTCACTGTGAAGCTGAAATAATGGGCAGCGGATTCGGGTGGCTCTTCCTCTGTGGCTTACCAGCTCAGGACTTCATTTTTTCTCAACCCACTCTTCTCTGGCTGCTTTAAAGTAGAATGACAACCAATGGCTTTTACTTCCTTTTCTGGCCTTGTTCCCCGTTCCCCTCACCCTGCACTAATGCCACATTCACCCTGTCCTTCTTCACACTCTGACCCCACCCGTAAGTTGCAGAGACCCTAATGTCCTAGGGAATGGAATTTCCTGGTCACTTCTCATCATCACTGGTCATTTCATGCCAAGTCCCACACACACACTTTGCCTCCACCCAGCTCTGGTCAGGTCCCTGGAAAAGAAACAGTAACGTCCTTGTTCCCGCCACTGCCCCTTTCCCTCTCGCCCCCTCCTCCCCTCTTCCCTCTTCTTCCCTCCCAGCACCATCCACCTCTATCCACTCAGCTTTGAGCAGGGTGGCGAAATGTTGGGGGGAGAATCCTGTCTCAGTACAGCCTGTCTGGTGGTGTTGGGGGTTTCCTCTGATTCTTCATTGTTTTCTCCATTCCCTCCCCCCTTGACTTTACCACCTGCCACCCTCACCATCACAACAACCCTATGACTGACTGACTGACTTCCCCACTAACCACAGCTCCCCTCTCTGGACAGCTGTGCTCTGACTTCCACCCTGTTTGATTACTCCTTTCTTCCAGGGGTGGGAAGGAAAGTAAGAGAAAGCCCAAACTCCTGGGTTCTTTCCTTCCCTAGAAGCTGTATTTAAGTGTTTATGTAATCTCATCTCAAGCTTGTTAAAAAAACAAAAACAAAAACAAAAAACCTCTCAGTTTTTAAATGAGTCTAGGGTGCCAGAACATCAGGGTTCCGGCCTGGGAGGAAGGGAGATTCCTGTTCATGTTAAAATGTAATCTTCATGAAACTGCCCTGTTTGGAATCTTTAATGTTGTCTGTACTATAAGACTGGGGAAATGCAGTGAGTGTAGGAAGAAACCCAGATGTGCCCTACCCTGGCTGGCACTAGTGAAAAGGGAGGAAGATCTTCCTTGGACACTAGTATCATTGGAAAGTTCCTTGTGTCTGGTTGGCTGATGAAGCTTGGACGTGGTAAGGAGGGAGGAGAGAACAGGTCACGGCAGGAGGGCAGGAGGGAGGGAAGCCTGGGCCCCTAGCCTGTGAGGCAGAGCAGAGTGGCACGATAGGACATGTGGAGAAGGGTGGGGAGGCTGGAAAAAGATTTCTCATGGGACAGAAGATACCTGGCACATCTACTTACAACCTGTACACAGATGATCTATACAAGACACACTTGGAGATATAGCCATGCTACATATGTGCAAACAGGAGTACAGTGATAAAGGACACAGATAAACAAAGTGTACACAGCCTTCAGAAAGGATCTGAAGGTCAGGTAATAAAGGAACTGCTAAGTGGCTTCTGGGAGGGGTTGGATCTCACTTAAGGGAAATGAAGAGGAACAAAGGCAGCAACCTGAGAAGGAAGAAATTCCTCACTGTAGAAAGTCTTTCTCAAGGTCCAACTTACTAGAGTTAGTCTCCTAGGACCTAGGTGGTCAAGGTTTCTCTTGTTCTTAAAGAAAATCTAGGTGTTGAGGGCAAGGTAAGGAAAAAGGGAGGGGACGGGGTGGAGGCCTTGTTTGTGAGAACAAAAAACCACTATTTCCTCTTCAAAGTCACTTAAATGCCCCTCCCCCTCTGCCCCAAACCCAAGGAGAAGGGAGCTGGAGCTTGTAGTACCCCCAAACTTTGCTTATTTCTGCCACCATCTTTTGGTCTTCCCCCATCCTCTTACCCTAAGTGCTTCCAGCCCCCTTCTACTCCCTTGCTACCACCAGCCACTGCTTCTTAACCCCTTGGTGTCCTTTTGGTTCTGTTCCTTTTTCTGAGGGTCAAACTGTGAGATTCTTATATTTGGAACAGATTAGTGTTAGGGTACAGAACTAGGGCTTCTAAGGGAGAACTGGGAAGGTACAGGTTCATCAGGAGGTTTCTCATTAACTTTTCTTTTACTTTCCACTGATCCAGGGTTCCAAGTCTGAGGAGGATATAACCTTGTGCCTGCCTGTCCACCTCTCTCTCTCTGGCCCTGTTAATCTCTCAGGATCTGAGACGCTGACCTTCATTGTTCAGCGAAGAGTTCTGAAGATTCTACTTTCTCTAGACCCATCCAGCTGAGCGAACCCAGGGTGTTGTTACACCTTAGAAGAGTGTGGAGTGGGCGGTCAAGGCACCAGAGCAAGAGCCCTCTGGGGCCCAGACAGAGGGGTGAAGCTGGAACCATCAGGGAACATGAGTGAATTTTGGCACAAACTGGGCTGCTGTGTGGTAGAGAAACCCCAGCCGGTGAGTCTCCCCACTCCCACCCCAACATACATAAAAATCAGTTACTGTATACTGTGAAGTAGACATACCATGTAGGACCTGCTGTCTAAAAATCACACTTCTTGTCTCCCTTTCTGTCAGGATAGTTTCTGTGGCCAGGCAGGTGTATATGTGGAAGAAGGGGGATTGGAAGGTGGAAGCAGTGAATAGTCCTATCACCTCTTGTTCCTGTCCATCCTGAGTTGGGCAGGGGTTGTAGGTGGAGCATAATACCTCTTGTCCCTATTGTTTCCTCAGCAGTCAGAGGTGACTTTGACACGTCCCTTCTTTGTCCAGTGTCCACTCTGCAGGCCACTGCCCTCACTACTCTGGTCTACATCTTCTTCGTGTTTATGTTGTTCCAGCTTTGCTTTCCATACCCTCGTGATTTCTTGTTGTAATGCCACATGCCTTCTTCCCACCAGGCCCTTAGTTCTTCCTTTAGTGGTTTTCAAGACTCTTTTCCCTTCCTCTACTCTGACTGGAGGAGGGAGCTTCAGATATGACTTCCTCTCTTCTCCAAGCAGAAGAAGAAGAGAAGACGGATTGACCGGAGCATGATTGGGGAACCAATGAATTTTGTCCACCTGACTCACATTGGCTCTGGGGAGATGGGGGCCGGAGATGGACTTGCCATGGTAACAAGGGAAGGGGGAGAGGTTGATGTAGGGGTATGGTCTGTAACTGTTCCTCTTTTTAGAAAGTATAAGCAAAGGATATGACAAAATTACTGGGGTAGCAGGAATCTGGGATTCTAGTCTGGTCATCAGTTATATAAATCTGAGACCTGGCATTTTAGGTCTCTGGGCCTGTGTTCTCTCAGCTTTATAATTAGCAGATTGTTCTTCATTATGCTGGGGCATATATATGTCTTAATAGTTAATTGGAGGGAAAAAAATTAGGAGGGCTTTTGCTAAAAACTATAATCCTTCCTTCTTCTAATTAAGAACTGCTGTCTCAGTGCCACAGTCATATGTGGTTGGGCATGTTGGGGCAGGAAAAAAGCTGAGCACTCTATCCTAAATAATGTCTAAGATGCCTTTCTGCTCTCAAAAACGGGAAATACATTTAGAGACAGTGAAAGAAGTGGCTCATGCCTGTAATCTCGGTACTTTGGGAGGCTGGAGGATCACTTGAGCCAACCTGGTCAATATAGTGAGACTCAGTCTCTACAAAAAGTAAAAGCATATTCGGACGTGGTGGTGCGCACCTCTAGTCCCAGCTACTCGGGAGGCTGAGGCAGGAGGATTGCTTGAACCCAGGAGTTTAAGGCTGCAGTGAGCTATGCTTGTGTGACTGCATTTCAGCCTAGGCGACAGAGCAAGACCCTGTCTCAAAAAAAAAACAAAAGGTCTTTTCACCAATTATGAAACTCAGATATAGATGGGAGAGTCCTTTGTGAGGGGATCTTATTAGTAAAATATCCATTTTACCTCATCCTCAAGAAGGCCAGTATGAAGGCATTGAAACTTCCCTGGGAGGAATGCCGGTTAGTTTTAGCCTTTTCAGATTGATGTTACATTCAAGGCTGTGGGGCCAACCTCTTTCCTGGAGTGCACAAGGTAGACCTTTTACTGTGGGATATGAAGACGTAAGAGGGTGTCTCATATGTGCTTTTTCACAGACAGGTGCAGTTCAGGAGCAGATGAGGTCCAAGGGAAACCGAGACAGGCCATGGAGTAATTCTCGGGGCTTGTAGCTCCAACAGGAATGGTGAGTGATGAGAGAATCCCATCCAACACCTCAGCTCCTGCTGACACATCCTGATACCCTGCTTCAGAACCTTGATCCTCTGTTGCAAGGATGGGAAGTAAGGGGAAGGGGAGAGAATTAGAATGAAAGATTTAAGAATGTAGGATCTAGAAAGAGAGAGGGTGTTGTATAGACAGAAATAGAGAAAAGACCACACTGTGGAAATATTTAAAAGTCTGCACTAGGTGGTGCCTTTTATCTAAAGCCTTGGTTTCCTTTGAGGCTAATCTTCTTCTTTAAATTTTTTTTTTTTTAATCCAGGTTTTGCCGTCATGAAGCCCCCATTCCGTGTCCAGCCTAGAAGAAATGCTGCCCCCACCGGACGCCTCCTAGAACCAGTGACCCAAGGGCCCCTCTTTTCCCTATCTGCCTAACAGTGCCTCAAAAGGCTTAGGGGGCTGGACTCCCTCTACTCCCTCTGGCTATAGCCCCTCCTGGAGATGGGGTCAAGGCAGCAGGACTGACCAAGTGACTACTGGTTGGCCAGAGGCATTCAGCTGAAACCCTGGACACCCTCAGATCTGAGACAGGAGTTCTCGGAACCTGGAATGAGTTCCCTTTTCCTGAATGATGGTCTGGGTACCACTTGTTTTTAAACTCTTAACCTGGAACTCCTTAAATGGGTAGGTGGGTGAGATAACCAAAGCTGATGCCAGTTTTGCCAAGAAGCTCCCTACCTCCCTGCCTTTCTCCTCTTTCTTCCTGGAATGAACTAAAGCAGATGTCAAGCAGAGGGGGTGACTACTGCCTAGTCTACTCTTTCTCTTTAGATTTCAGACCTTAAGCTCACAGCCCCTCAATCCCTCTGCCAACACCAGGGTGTTTCTCTAGTTAGGCTTCTAATCCTATGTTTCTGTAGCATTACTATCTTCCCAACAACTTTCCTTTTTTAAAAAAATTAATTAAAAATTTGAGTTCTCTTAATTATCTCCATCTACTTCTATTGCTATTCCTTCTGCCTTATCCCTGTTGGGAACCTTATTGTTTCCCACTGAATAAGTATTAATCTGATGACATTCCATGTAAGTCTTGGGGGGGACCTGGCCTGTCCTCTGCCACCCTCCCTGCTGGCCCAGGTGAGAGGAAGAAGAGAGGTCAGGAGAGAAACCCAGAATGCAACAAAACTAGGGGTTATATATTGAGGTAGACTTCTGACTGTTGAGGATGGGAGGGGTAGTGAGATAAATAGGTTGAAAACAATCATCTTTGAGTGTAGGGGTCTTATCATTCTCACAGATTGGGAACGGAGAGGCTCTAGAACAAGGTTTCTCAACGTAGACACTTTTGACATTTTCGGATGGATAATTCTATGTAATGAGAGCTCTTCTGTGCGTTATAAGTTGTTTGGCAGCATGCCTGGCCCACCCTAGTTATGACAACCCAAAATGTCTCCAGATGTTGCCAAATGTCTCCTAAGGGCAAAATTGCCTCCAGTTGAGAACTGTGGCTCTAGAGTCAAAGATAATTTTCTCTTAAGTGATTTCTACCCTGCACCCTATCTTCGTCCCATTATTCACCTTTTTTTTTTTTTGAGACAAAGTCTCGCTCTGTTGCCCGGTCTAGAGTGCCATGGCGTCAGCCTAGCTCACAGCAACCTCAAACTCCTGGGCTCAAGCGATCCTTCTGACT